ACAATTGCACCTAAAATGATTCTGCAACCTAAAAAAAAAAAAACTTTATTGCGTATTTATACAACTATATATAAAAGATCTATACTCTACTATAACAGAACCGATGCATGTATGCATATATGTATTGGGTTGGCTAAAATATTGATCGTTTATAATTAAATTTTCTACTTAATAAAGCGAAATGTTGGGCCATATATATATATATATATATATATATATATATATATATATATATATATATATATATATATATATATATATATATATATATATATATATATATATATATATATATATATATATATATATCCCAAAATTATATATATATATATATATATATATATATATATATGCTTGTTTGTGTGTTTCCCTGTGTGCTTGTGCATGTATGTGTGTGCATGCATGCGTGTGGATATGTGCATATAAGTGTACGCAAATTGAAAAAACACATGCAACTTTGTGCATTAGTGCATATGTTTATAATATATTTGCATTTTAGATGTTTGTTAATCACTTGCGCGTATACACAGACAGTATATTTCTACATGTGAAGGGTGAACTGAAGCATGATCATGAATAAACGTCTGTGTATGTGTGTACGTGTGTGTATGTGTGTGCGTGAGTATTCGGATGTATATGAGGTCTTCGTGCACAGCCATTTTGTTCGTCTTTTCATTTCATATCTCCTTTGAAGCCATTAGAGGACATTTTTCTTTTCGTGATTTTATCTAAATTTATAATCGTAATTCAAAATGAAATTACTTGTGTACAACCTCCAATCCGAAAACAGTCTTTTTGAAAACAATCAACCATTACCTCCTAAAGGCTTTATATTACAACCTTATGATGGTGAATGCATCAAGTTTCAGATGGTTATAATTAAATTAGATTCCTTTTTAAAATATGTTTCCTTGCATAAAACATAATCATTTGAAAAGTTAGATAAATTGATTGAGTACTTTTGGAATATTTTTTGATTTTTTTTTCGGAGCAAATTCATGAAATTCTTCATGGATATGTCATCAACTTTAAAGTAATATATTAGAAGGCTGAAGTGATTTTATTTTGGCACGTGAATGAAATTTTCCTTGACGCCCCTTTTTCCATTAAAATATTCAGCCGTTCGTCTTCTCCTTCTCCTTCGTACTCTTCTTCTATTTTCCATGTCTCTTCATGGCTCTCCACAGCTTCATTTCCTTTCTAAGTCTTAGCAATGTTTGTCTTTTTGCTATTTCTTCCAATGTTCCAATTCGGCCAGCCATTTACACCAGCTTGTTATGTCGGTTATTCACTGCTTTCCTCTGTCCCTCTTGCTTTCAATATATCCTGTGAGTGTCAAATTTTCCAAGCCTTCTTTCCTCATTAAATTAGAAATTTCAAGTATTTTTTTCTAAGTATAAGTGTTCTTGTTGTTTCCAGCCTCATCGTTGCTCATAAGTTCAGTCTAAGGTATTCTCAGCATCCATATGAAAACCACAATTCTATTACGTCATGTTTCTTCGTTTATGTGGAGATTGTCCAGTATTCCCTCGAATAACGAAGGTTCGATATTACATAACATTCTAGTATTCATGTATTTGTTTTGTAACTAAATTTTCCTGTTTCTTAATAATTTGCTTAGATTTTGGAAGGCATCTTTCGCTATTCAAATACGCCTTCGAATTCTAGTGTGGCATTTTCCATCTTCTGTAAAATCATATCTCAGATACTTAAATTTATGCATTTGCTTGATTTTCGTGTCTCCAATTTAAAGTCCTAAATTTGGGCTGCGCCTTTTGCTGATAGCCATACATCCTGTTTTCTTATTATTGATGTTTAGTCCTTTCTTCTCGCTTTCCTTTAGTGCTTTCTGTAGGAGTGTCTGTAATTCATTTTTCGTGTCTGTTATCAATACAATGCCATCTGCATAACTTAAATTATTAAGTTCTGGCCGCCAATAATGAATCCTGTAAGGTCTTCTAATTTTCTCAGGATCACCTCAGAGTAAAAGTTACATGAGTCTGGGAAAAAGAAACATCCACGTTTCATGCACCTTTCTATTTTGGGGTATTTACTGAATTCATTTTCTCTACGTATGCAGGTGGTTTGCTCCCAGTATAGGTTCAGGATTATTTTACTATCCTTGCCAAATAAATCAAGCTTACCTGGTAGTTCAAAAAGTTCTTTGTGATTAAATTTATCAAACACCTTTGCATAATCTATAAAACACAGTTATACTTACTTCTGCGTTTGTATTGCGCTTTGAGATATCATTCTGGGCATAAATGTCATATATATATGTGCCAGTGTGTTTAAGAAAAACGCACGGTTCTTGTCTTATTTCAAGCCTAATTTTGGTACGCACTCTATGAATCATAATTCGAATCATAATTTTATTAGGCTGTCTGATAGTGTTCGGATTTGTTTACACCTGCCTTCCTAGACATCGTTATGAAAAGGAATCTACATAAACATTCCGCAATGCCGTATCTCTTTTATTATGACGAGTTTTGTCAATGCTGAAATCAACTAAAGCTTCCAGTATTTCAATTTCACTTTCTTCTGGTCCTGTTGCCTTGTTTCTGATCAATTTTGCCAGTGCTGATTTCACTTCAGACTTATTAGTTCTATTTCTCATACCTTTCGTTGAGTTATTTCTCTTTCGCCTATCTGCCTTTATTTCTAATTTCTTTAGACAATGTCATATTCTGTGCCATACTTTAGCATTATTTACCCTCTATTTTTCATCATACTGAGATTTTTATCTATCATTCATTCTTTTTTTTTCCATGTCTAGTTTTCTTACGGACGATCTCATTTGCTGACATTATTATCGCTTGTTTTATTGCAATTTGGGTGCTGCCTTGGTTCGTTTAACTTGGATGTTGCCTTCGGCTAGTTTCATTTTAGATATACATTTCACTGGAAGGTGGCTACTTCCGCAGTCGGCACTTATTTTACTGTGTAAAACTACATACCTGAATATCTCATTGATTTTTATATAGTAGATTTTTTTAGTTTTTCTTCTTCGGCATCTTCATTATCATATACACTCTGGGTATTCTGAAAACGATGTATGACTACTGCATGATAATTTACCATGCACCACTGAACCTATTTTTTCCGCGTTAATTACGGGTTCCTAGTCTGAATTTGCCAACTATTTCACCATCTCTTTCCTCTCCTAATTTGGCATTCAAGCCTCCCATGACGATTACACTGATGACGATTGCACTGAGACATTGCGCTTTCCATGGCACGGTAGAACGATATATTTCTTCTTCTGTTGTCTGTTTTCAGAGCATACACAAATACGATGGCTATATTAAAGTCCTAGAATACATATCTCCATATCTTGGTCTAATATGAATCCTACTCAATTCTAGTTTTTTTTCTCTGGAGTTGCATATATTGCCCTGTATTTGTAAGTGACGAAATCTCCATTGTCTATTTAGTTCTTCATCCGGATCAGATTAAAATTTAACCTACCCACCAGTGCCAAGTCTTTTTAGGATTTGACTGATCATGGCTTTCCACAGCTAAATGGGTATCCTTGAATACGAATGGCTGGCTGTCTTTTGTTGTAATAAGTAATTTCTGACACTTATAAAACCAGAAAATAACATCTTTTATAATGGCTTATCAAATCAGAAAGTTTTCAAAAGATATTGAACATTTTACGGTCAAACTCAGTCCTGAATTCATATATATATATATATATATATATATATATATATATATATATATATATATATATATAGATAGATAGATATATAGATATATATAGATATATATAAAAGATCAAGTAATTCACCGAGTCTAGAAGAAACCTCAAAAGAATACATAAAACCATTGGACGGCCGTTTCGTCCTATATTTTCTCTTTTACCCATCGGACTGTGCCCCCACGAGCCACAACTACTATCACCATGGGTAAAAGAGAAACTCGGATGAGTTCCACCACGGAATATGTGATCGAGCGGCACTATATCGCATCTGAGTTGGAACAGATGGTATGACTTTTGCCTGATAACGTAACTGTTCTCGGTTGTGGATGCGTACTGCTGATGAGTCCCAAATATAGGACGAAACGGCCGTCCAGTGCTTTCTGCATTCTGTTGAGGTTTCTTTCAGACTCGATAAATTACTTAATTATAATTATCTCAAACCCTCCTAATTTCTATCATATATATATATATATATATATATATATATATATATATATGAATAAATGAATAAATGTTTCCCGTACTGATTTCATCGTTACACTTTCGTTAGACATTTTTCAATGACCAACTTATCTACTTTCTCTCTCTCCCTATATATATATATATATATATATATATATATATATATATATATAAAGAGAAATAACAGTAAGATTTATAATCCGGTGTAATTATTTTTATTAAAACAAAACAGTGCTCAGTACAATTCTGCAGAGCATAAATATTATAAATTTAGTAATTTAAAAATATGGTTCCATCGCTACACAGGAATTACCATGTTTCAAAAACCATAACTAAAAACTTCAAATTTAATTATAGAATTGAATTAAAGTCCCTAGTACTTCATTTCAAGCAATTTTTGGAATATAATATATATATATATTTATATATATATATATATATATATATATATATATATATATAGGCGCTTTGTTCTAATATGAAAAGAAACATGGAATTGGTGTTGTATTTTTTCCCAATTTAATATCATGCACCTGCGAGTCGAGCAATTGGATCAGGTTAAAATCTCGTTGTGGTTTTCAAAATCCAATATCCTCCGCGTGCGGCGCTCAGAGCAGGAAAATTGACGAACAATGGAACCGAAATGATGCGGATTTGCCTTTTTCTATGCAGGTAGCATTTCAAAATGGCGAAGAGGCTTTTGATTTGACCCAGTGCTTGACGAAAGCTAAATCTGAACAAATGATTGGACTGTTACTGCCAAAAGCATCGATATGGGTGTCTGAATGTTTCATTAATCTCTGCTCCAGTTGTTGGCATATGCCAGTTACTATTAAAGAAAGAAATAAGAAAGGAAGGAAAAAAAAGAATGAAAGAAACAAGGAAAAAAGAAAGAAAGGAATAAAGAAGGAGTGTAAAGAAAGGAAGAGAGAAAGAAAAAGAGGGACAAAGAACAGAAGTAGAAAGAGAAATAAATAAAGAAAGAAAGAAAATGAAAGGGAACAAGGAAGGAAGGAAGGAAGGAAGGAAGGAAGGAAGGAAGGAAGGAAGGAAGGAAGGATAGAAAAAAGAAAGCGAAAGAACAAAACAAAGAAACGGTGAAAGAAATAAAGTAAAAGAAAACGAAAAGGAAAGGCAAAAAGAATAAACAAGAATAAAAAAGAATAAAAAGGGAATGAAGAAAGGAAAGGAAGAAAGAAAGAAAAATAAGAATAAAGAAATTAAAAGAACAAAGACAGAAAAAAGAAAAAGAAAACGAAAAGCAAGAGGAATGAACAGAATAAATAAATGAGAAAGAAAGAAAGAAAAAAGAAAGAATGAAAGAAAGAAAGAGTGGTATAAAATAGGAAAAATAAAGATAAAAGGAAATAAATAAAGACAAAGTGGGAGAAAGAAAGAAAGAAAGAAAGAAAGAAAGAATGAAAGAAAGAATGAAAGAAAGAAAGAAAGAAAGAATATTGCTTCTATTTGGGAGTTTATCTTAAAAACTGACAGCCTCCAATTGCTCTCTGATTGATTCGCCTTGCGATTCGGAAGTTGCAACTACAGCGATTAGATGACATTTATTCAAGAAAAGGTATCTGAATTCTGTCTTTTTTTTCATCCCCATTTCTATTACTGGTATCTTCAAACAATAATATGCGTTGAAACATCAGCTGAGACTGAATCGTAAAAGCCGAGATACATTTTACTGTCAGTACTGAAAGCTTGAACGGTAGAAACAAAAACTTTTAGATTAAGAAGAATGAACAAAAGGAACATTCAAGTATCTCAATGAAAATTTTAAGAATAATCATACGGACTAGTAAATCTTGTTTTAGATATAGATTCCGAATCTCTCATATATATTACATTTCCTAATCAATAATTTTTATCCACAGGTAAACGTTTTTGTCTTTATGAATGCATAACTGCTCTCTTTTAATCGACTGGGAGACCGCCCACCCTTTTTGCCTTCCACTACATTCAACAACAAGGCTTCTGATCAGGAGGTTTTGAGGAGTGTGGAACCGCCTCTTAATAGCTGGTGTTCCCAGGTCCACCCTGACCCGGGTTGGTAGCCCCTGTTAGGGTCACAGCTATGGGTAAAAAGTTAACACCCAAACTGGGGTCAAAACACTATGAAAGTGTAAAAATAAGTTTTAACCAGCAATAAATTCTTGAAGAAGAAAATTATTACCAGCAATATATTTAAAAAAAAAAAAAAATTACCAGCAATACATTTTTGAGAAAAATATTACCAGTTATATATTTTTGAAAAAAATTTTACCAGCTATACATTTTTGAAAAAAAAAAAATTCCAGAAATAGATCTTTGAAGGAAAAAATATTACCAGCAATACATTTTTGAAAAAAAAAATATTACCAGCAATAAAATTTTGTCAGCATTAAATACCGATTTAGGTTGATATGCCGTAAAACAAGCCAAACCAAACCAAACCAAACCAATATATGCTGAGATTGATAGATAGATAGATAGATAGATAGATAGATAGATAGATAGAAATATTACCAGCAATAGAAATTTTGTCGGAATTAAATAACCCATCTAGGTTGATATGCCGTAAAACAAACCAAAGCAAACCAAAACATTTTGCCTTCAATCAGCATGGCTGATGCTAACCTCCAGGAGGGTTAATCATAATCCTACTTGGATTAACGTTGGTTGATTATATCGTACTAGTCAACTTTCTCATCAGAACCTAGCTTACATATTTATAAGTCTACCATTCGTCCTTGCTTTGAATACTGGTACAATCTAGTCTGATTCTCCCGCTATAAGCTTTTGAAAGATTCTTGATAAATTCAAAAGAAGAATCTGCAATGTTACTCATCATGAGCTGGCATCTCGGTTTCAATATTTTTTTAAGCATTTCACCCCAAACAACGCAGAAAAGCCAATAGCATGCAGGGGTTACAGAGAGTGAAAGTGAGAGAAAAGATTGTGTATAGGGGGAATGTGGAAAGGATAAATGATGAATAGGGTTTAAGTCAACAAAAGATGGCGGTTGACACTGTATTTAAATTTTTGAAAATCGTAGTTACCAGGGAGGCTGATAAGTGGAAAGAGTACCACATTTGGGAGCACCGAGAAAGAAGTGGCGGTTGCATTTAACTATTTCACAGTAAAAAGGTGGGACCTAGATGCCAATCAAGTAGCACGCATAGATTCGTGTAGTCGAGGCACCATGGAAAAAAGGTCGTCAGAGAAGTTGCCATGGAAACCTGACCGTCGTAACATAGTGGCTCTGTTCCTTTTCTCTCAATATTTTCATGTTAATTGTTAGGATGAACTTTCCTTTATAGTCCCGAGACGTTATGAATTTAAGCGCCAAGTTTTTATTATTTTATAGCTGAAATGGCGAGATGTAATCGCAAATGTCTATACTTGCATTTTCTTCTCTTGTACTTCTCGCTTATGGAACATTGAAAGTTGTTTCCGAATCAAATTTGATCATCAAAAATTATCCTCTCGATTCTAAATTCTTGTTCTCTCTCTCCTTAATAATGTTTTTATATATATATATATATATATATATATATATATATATATATATATATATATATTAAAGACATTTTTTATGTTTTAACATTCTTTTTTATAGATACAAGTATTTTTAGTAAATGCTCTGTTTATAACAAACAGTATTAAATAACATTTACCGACCTGAATGTCCGAGAAATTTTCATAGAAAATATTCGTCCTTTGACAGGTTTCTATGAAAATTCTCGGACATTCAGGCCGGTAAATGTTATTTAATACTGTTTATTATAAACAGAGCATTTACTTAAATACTTGTATCTATAAAAAGAATGTTAAAACAAAAAAATGTCTTTAATAAATTGTCGGACTTTGTCCATTTTTAATATATATATATATATATATATATATATATATATATATATATATATATATATATATATATATATATATATTCGCTAACACTCAGTAAGTCCTTGCCACTGAGTGGCTTTATTGTCTCGTTTGGGTGAAATGATTAAAATAAAAACCGGAAGGCTGAATGTGTCAAACTTTGTTGAAGTCGACGGCGATGAAGAATCCGTTGCAACGACTTTCGTACAAATGTCTATGGGAAAAGCATAATTCCATCTCTACTCTCCGAGTTCAATTGTAGGACTGAAGAGACTCTCTAGGAGGAGAAAAAAATCTGAATTCAAAACCACTGGGATTCTACAGGTTTAAAGAGTAGATGTAGACTTAAGCCTTCTATGAAAGTGGTCACAACGGAAATTGAACTCAAAACTAATTTCTATACCGATAAGAGCTATGCCTAAAACCATCTCTACTTTCCCGGTTCAATTGCAGAACAGAAGAGACTCTCTAAGATGAGAAAAAAAAATCTGAATTCAAAACCACGGGGAGTCTATAGGTTTAAAGAGGAGATGTAGACTTAAACCTTCTATGAAAGTGGTCACAACGGAATTTGAACTCGATTCGTCGAAACTAATTTCTATGCCGGTAAACGCTATGCTATGCGTACATCTGCAGAATTACCAGTTCAGCCTTTTTTTTTTAATTCAGAATTTTCCTTCTCTTAGTTTCTTTTGTCTTACTATTTCGCCGGGTGCCGGAGAGAGAAGGGATGTGTTCATACTTTGCCCCAAGTTGTTTGTATGAGAAGCGAACACGGCGCCATCAGCCGGAATTTGAAGCCGGCTCGCCGATCCCACTTGCCGCAGGATAACGTCTACACTACTCACACATTCACAGAAAACTGGGATCTATAAATTTTGTTTCCCATTATTCAATTTGATCTTACGTAAAATAAATGGTATACAAAGAGCCTTCTCTCGTATTTCTGTACGTATTGTTACGCTAAAATTAGTAAATATATTGGGCGCCTGTCATTGAGGAAGGTTCTGCAAGTTCATCTCGCAGACCTATTTACTGGGAGATCTCAACACTGAAGCGTTTTACGAAGGCGAAGCTGAGCTTAGCAAATAAATTATGACATTTGTCTTAGAGCGATGTTTATCAAGCTAGTCTGCAGTTCGATCTCCATCGTATGCCCAGTTAATGTGTTAGAAGTTAATCTAAGCTTAGTAAGAATTGATTGATTCTCTGTCTTGTTGGTTGGTTAAGGGCACATGGCCCAATGGATAAAAGCGTTGGTTGAAGTAATCCAGTAACTTAACCAAAAGTTGTGAGTTCAATATCTGGCCACAGCAGCGGTGGACACAAATAAGTGAAACTCGGATATACGTGGAACTAACCTAAGCCACCAATCTGCCACTGGGTGGCATACCGCTAGCATTTGCCGCTGTCGGACCGCCGGCGTGTTCGTATTGGCAATGTTATCACCGGCGGACACCTAGAAGCTAGTGGCTGCCACCAGAGACCCGTTCTGTTGCCATCGACGGCCCGCCAGCGGGCCACTAGTACCTTACGCGTTGGGTAGAACAATCTACCCACCCCGTCGACGAAATTCCAACGTATATCACCTGAAGGAGTGTACAACGGCCGAAACGTTGTTAAAGATAAGGACAACAGTCCGAACAATGCAAATAATGTGCATAGTTACACTACCGCATTTCATAAATATAGACAGATGGTGGTTAAGGCCTTTATCCCTGATGCTAGTGCTTTATGTTCGAACCCAGAGGGCAACCATTATCAAAAATGTTGATTTTCCAAGAAAGCAGATGTACTCACTCTCTTCTCAGCGTTTTGCTATCTGCGGTATTGAGTTAATTTAATATCTATCATAAACCGTGAGTCTTCATTATAAAACTTATCAGAAAAAAAATCATGTCTTTTCCCATAAACACGAGCCAAATTCCCGGTAAAAATGTTATATGTAGAATTCCAAGTCCGGCGGTTGAAGATCCAAGAGACGGTGAGGACAATGTGCGTTGTATAGGAGCGGTTGGAAGGAGGAGGTGACCGGAGTTGCATTTTTTTCTTCTGCTATGTGCCGTATACCTTCAGGATGTAGGCAGTCATGGCTCTCCACAATTTCTTGCCTTTTGTAGCTCTTAATATATTCTGTCTTTTTGTTATCTCTCCTAAACCTTGTCGTGGATATGACGATAAACTACATCCGACAGGGAGGCCCCTGATTGGGAGGTTTTCATGAGCGTGGAAACACCTTTTAATTGCTGCTCTTCCAATGTCCATTCAGACCTGAGGTTTTAGCACCTGTTAGGATCCAAATTATGGGCAAATAGAATTACTAAACGAATTACTACTATCCCAAACAAACGTACAGAACTATATCAAGAAATCAAACGAAAATGGTTAAATCCGTCAACCTAATAATAAAAACAATATTTTTACACGTGAAAGTAATTGTAATTTTAAGTTGACAATATGAATACAATAGCGTTTTCTAAATTCTTCCAGTTGCTAAGGACATTTTATTTGTTGTTAATAGTTACCTTGTTTTCAATAAATTAATTTCGTTTTTTTGCCTTGAAAAGTTCAAATTGGGCGAAACGCATTGTTTTTTTCTACAGGTTAACTCTGAGAAATGTTTTATATATACATATACATACACACACACACACACACACACACACACACACACACACACACACACACACACACATATATATATATATATATATATATAATAGAGGACTATGTTTCTTGTCATAAATCAATTACCTATATCGAGCATATACTATCATCTCCTTTTGTCACTTATCAGATCAAATTGCTACGTAAAAACTCTCCCTTCAATTTACAAGAATCCTTAAGAAAAATTCTGGTCGAAACACTAAAATTCTATATAAATCACATTACCGGAAACATCTCGCTATAAGTTGGTTAAGGTAATGTAGATATGTATAGACCTCTCTATAAAGGTTACTTGGGTCTTGCATCCTGAACCCTTATTTTTTGAATTCATGAAATTAGCAACAGAAGGGGTAGAGTTCAGCTTTGAGGATATCATGTACTCCCAGATCGACAGGTTTTCTATGGGTAGCACCTTGGGTCCCTCTTTAGCCAACATTTTTGTTGGATGCTACAAGAGCCTATTATCTGAGAAATGTCAAAAACCTTATGTATATCTACGTTACGTTGATGACACTTTTGCTATGTTCGAAAGCGTAAACGAAGCAACTCTTTTTCGCCAACATTTAAATTCGTTACACCCTTCATTAGTTTTCCCAATGGAGGAAGGAGAAAATAATTCTCTTTCCTTTTTAGAACTTTTGCTTGAGCGAAAGGATAATATTTTTATTACTAGTGTGTTCAGTAAACCAACATTCATTGGTTTATATAATAATTGGAACTCTTTTGTCCTCCAGAAAAGTCGACTTAATCTCAACTTCAGTCCATCGTGTCCTAATGATTTATGACTTGTTCGCCTTGCGCTCTTCAGCAAGAGTTAGACAGGATACATGTTGGAATTTTTGGGCACCCTGGTGTACTAGTGAGCCAGCCAAAATGAGCTGACTCATTTTATAGTTCACCAATAGAAGGGTTAACCAATCAGAAGGCTCAAAATATCCAATGCGACATGTATAAAGGCGGCCATATTTTTTTCCGAATATTCACTGCCAGCCAGCCTTTGATATCGA